GTTCACTTTCTAAAAAGGTCATTTATTTCTGTCTAGAATGATGTACAAATGAGCGTTCTTGCTCATTTTGCCTCCGAGACATGAGCAAAAACGGGGCGAAAAACATGAAATTTTGGCATAATCTTGCACCTAAGTGTCTGATGATGTCAAAACTACTCTCATTTCCTCACTCAAGCTCGTATAACTGAATCGAATTTTCAATTCTCTATCCAACATTTTTGATCAAAAACGATGAGTGCTACAAGATTTTACTAAGAGGACCAAACTTTCAAATAAGAATTAGTCCAGCAACTCAAAAAAAAATCAGTTGGTTCCAGCTACCAAAAACAAAGTTCTGGTAGTTTTTGAACCAAAGAGGCTTCATCAGAACATGAGTTTTTCACCGAAACAAATTCACAGCTAGTTTAATTAAAATCCATCGTATCCGATATGTCGAAAAGAAAAAAATTTCGATGGTAAATTACCTACTTTACTCGTACATTTACAATCGACTAACTTTTCCAGAAATTCAGCTCAAGAATTGGATTTCTTGCCTTACACATTTAGATACTAGTATGTAGTTGAAAATATGCAACTTGCAAAACTAAAATTCTCAACATCTAAAGAAATGTGAGCAAAAGTTGATACATAAAATAGCCTATACGCAATAAAGATAAATAAAAAAGAAGAAATGAAAAAGATGACAAATTTTGACTAAAACTTTTTGCTGCACAACAAGAGGCTTCTATGATTAAATCACACTTAAAAGCATCTAAGCGTGTTAATTAACACGCATTGGTCAACGCGTCACAATTACTTTGGTAAATTAACAAAAATCATGTGAACGTCATGGCGTAAACGAATGCTCAATGGCTGGACTGGACGGTATCTGTTTGTAATTAGATATTTTTGGCTAATTATGTTAATGACAAATCTTTGAAATCGACAAATGTACAAAATAAATGTTTATTCACATCCGGCAGGAATTGAATTGTTTGCCAAATAGATGCGGTTTCTGAAAATTGATCGAGATTCAGTGTATAATTATACCTGTTTTTAATCGATGTATTATATTTAATATTCTTGTTTGCTGAATACTTAACTGCATTGCGCATTGTATGTAAATGTAAACGATTAAAAAACGTCATTTTCTTATCTTTATTTTATTAGAACTGCTAGTGCGGATTACTCGCAGTCAATAAATCAGCGCTTCTATGATAATTGATTTTTTCCCATTAGCATTTGTCAATGTTTACCAAAATTACCACGCATTTACCGAATTTGGGGCGCTTTTAGCAGAACATGATTGTCTAACGGATAGCTCATACGTTCAATGGCGAGTTTTGCTGGTCCTAATCAAATTTTTCTCTGCTGCTCCACTTCTGCATGCTTCGTCATGTTCATATTATCATGTCATTATAGCCCATTTTATTACTAGCACTAATTACCGTGGATTTTAAATATGAATTACTTGCTGATGGAAGATCGATTATCACGCTTACAAAACTGTAAATATTTGGTGCCGTTAATTATAAATAAAAAATTCGATTACTTTTCACTTCGTTTATAAAGTAGCGCATCAGTCCCGGTTTGATGAGGAGCGGGTGTTGCTAAAATGTATCAGCCATTTATTTAGCTCAATGCCATTTGTGCTCAAAGTGCACTTTTTCTCAGACTGGTTTCACTTTCTAATAAGGCCATTTATTTGTGTCTCGAATGATGTGCACATGAGCGTTCTTGCTCATTTTGCCTCCGAGATATGAGCAAAAACGGGCCGGAAAACATGAAATTTTGGCATAATATTGAACCTAAGTGTTTGACATTCAAATTTCGCTTTCTGGGTCAAAACTACTCGAATTTCCTCACTAACGTTGTTACGACTGAATCGACTTTTCAATTCTCTATCCAACGATGCC